TGCCGTGTTAACCCTATAATAACTCAATATCTTGCACAATAAGATAGCTTAATTATAGATTAACACATCATACTGACAATAATGTGACGCTTGGAATGTAAGACTTACAGAACAACCCAATACTTTATGAGTGTAAACTCATGGGTGCAACAACACAATATCATATTGAGTTCATTTGATAGCATTAAACAAAGGACAATAAACCCATGGTATAATACTATTCCAGTTGACTAAAGTAAACAAACATTTGTCTTTATGGTTGTACAGGAAGCATTTATCCAATTTCATCATACCTTTTCGGTTCGGTGAGAAAGGAATAATTACTAAACATGATGATGTATTCATGGTGGCTCAGAAAAAGGTATACCGAAACACTACATTTGATTTAAATTTGATATACCTTTTTATATACATATAATCAATATCTTTTAGATTAAAAAGAATTGTTATTACTTGGAAGGTGATCAAAAATACGTCTATCTAACAGTGAAACCTTTAGTTGATCACACTTGTGGTGGATTTTATTAATCAAAAATCTTAATTGGAAGAGGTTGGGGTTAAAGTAAGCCATTTTTAGTTGTCTGTGAACATGTAGATATGATGATTTGTTTGTTTTAGTAAAGAAAGAGATGTAAATATTTGCATGTTATTAATATGCATATAACTTTAATTATTTTAAAACATTTGAGTCATATATCAGTTTGGTCTTCGATAAAGAGATATTATTGGCTCTGTTGGTCAATAAACAGTCTTATGTTGTTGTTGTTTTATTTTATTTAACAAAACATACAATGGGTTAGTGTGTGTGTGTGTGTTTCATACAAGAAATGACAATATTGACTTGTTTAAGTCTGTTGCTAACGAAAATTAACATTAATAGTAAGACAATAACCACGCAGAATAATCAACATAAGGTAACCCAATAGTCTAGTTTAGTCAGTGCATGGAATAGCCGATCCCTTAGAATAACTGGGAAATGAAATAACCTAATACTTTGTAATTTGCCCGGCATGGCCAGGTGGTTAAGGAGCTCGACTCGCAATCTGAGGGTCGCGGGTTCGAATCCCCGTC